CCTGCAGACTAGGCTTTAGGTGCCAAGCTAAACCCTGACAGCAGTAGAGTCACTGAATACTAATCCAGGGACTCTTGGTGGCCTCCCTCCAGCCAGAGGCCTGGGATCACTTCCTTTGCTTCTGTAGCACTGTCTTTGCTGCCTGGTAGGTAGAAACATGTGCCTTGTGTAACACTTATTTTCCTGAGGCTCCTGTGGATGCTTTTGCAGAATGCTGCCTTCCTGGTGCTGGAGGGGATGGTTTCAGAGGGCTGGGCTGTGTGTTCAGGACTCTGAGCTGAGTTGCTGCACTCTGTGGGGGAGCTTGACCCTCACTTACCTGCAGCTCTGGCTGGGCAGACCTACGCCTCTCCAGCAGCCGCAGACACTCATTAAGAAACAACTGGCCGGGGGGCTGGGCACCCTGGTTCACACCTGTAATCCTAGCACTTTGAGAGGCCGAGGCAGGCAGATCATGAGGTCAGGAGTTCGAGAACAGCCTGGCCAATATGGAAACCCCCATCTCTACTAAAAATACAAAAATTAGCCAGGTGTGGTGGCACGTGCCTATAGCACTATGGTCCCAGCTACTTGGGAGGCTGAGGTAGAAGAATTGATTGAATCTAGGAGGTGGAGGTTGCAGTGAGCCAAGATCATGCCACTGCACTCCACCTTGGGCAACATGAGCGAAATTCTGTCAAAAAAAAAAAAAAAAAAAAGGAAAGAAAGAAAGACAACTGGCTGGGCGCAGTGGCTCATGCCTGTAATCCCAGCACTTTGGGAGGCCAAGGCTGGAGGATTGCTTGAGCCCAGGCAGGAGTTGGATACCAGCCTGGACAACATGGCAAAACCCCATCTCCACCAAGAAAAGAAAAAAAGCAAGTTAGCTGGCATGGTGGCGTGTGTTTGTAGTCCCAGCTACTCAGGAGGCTGAAATGGTAGGATCACCTGAGCCTGGGAGGCCGAGGCTATAATCGTGCCACTGCACTCCAGCTTGGGTGAGTGAGACCCTATCTCAAAAAGAAAAGAAAAGAAAAACAATTGTGTGCTCTGTGAAGGGTGGGAGGTGCAGGGCGGGAGATTACCTGAGCACCTTTAGCTGAGTTTCCCAGCAACATGCTCAGGCTGTTCTCACAGTTAGGACCTTTGGGGCTGGCTGGGTGCTGGGCGTGGCTTCTTCCAGCACCTGCAACTAAAAAGATTCTCTCCTGGGTGGCTGCCAGGGCTTCCTTAACTTCTGATTCTCCAAGATCCCATCTGAACGAACATACAGACCGCCCTTGGGAGCTTCCGTCAGAAAGCATCCCTGACAGTCAACCTGAAATCATTTCGAGATAGAAGTAGTGATTTGTTTTGTTTTGTTTTTGAGATGGAGTCTTGCTCTGTCACCCAGGCTGGAGTGCAGTGGTATGATCTCAGCTCACTGCAACCTCCACCTCCTGGGTTCAAGCGATTGCCCTGCCTCAGCCTCCAGAGTAACTGGGACTATAGGCGTGCACCACCACAACCAACTAATATTTTGTATTTTTAGTAGATTTCACCATGTTGGTCATGCTGGTCTCGAACTCCTGACCTCAAATGATCCACCTGCCTTGGCCTCCTGTAATCACAGCAGGCCTCCTGTAATCTCAGCCTGCTGGGATTACAGGCATGAGCCACCACGCCTAGCTGGAAGTAGTGTTTGGGCCAAGACGTGAAGCTTCAACTCCTACAGCCAGAGAGGAGTCGCCATTTGGGCACTGAAGCAATGCCCATGAGGCTTAGTTATGGAAATATCTCCTGATCACTGTTTTGTGTCAGTTGAGATTCCAATTGTAAAAGGATGGAATGCAGGTCTTGCTTCTTTCTCCCACAGATCTATGGAACCATCTAGTGAGCACATTTGGCTTAGGAAACAAAGCTGCCGCGGGGGCCCTCTGTGCAGGGCCAGGAGGTGTTTGTGATTTCCCACATTGGCTCTGTGGATCGTTGCTTTTACATTTCTGGCTTTCAATAGGCAGGTCATCAGAGACATGGCCGGCAAGTGAAGTTTCTATTGTAGTGGCAGAGAGCAGTTGTTCTTAAAAATACTAATTATAGGCTGGGTGCGGTGGCTCATGCCTGTAATCCCAGCACTTTGGAAGGCCAAGGCAGGATCATGAGATCAGGAGATCGAGACCATTCTGGCTGACGTGGTGAAACCCCGTCTCTACTAAAAATACAAAAAATTAGTCGGGCTTGGTGGTACGCGCCAGTAGTCCCAGCTACTCGGGAGGCTGAGACAGGAGAATCGCTTGAACCTGGGAGGCAGAGATTGCAGTGAGCCAAGATTGTGCCACTGCACTCCAGCCTGGGCAACAGAGCGAGACACCATCACAAAAAATATAATAATTATATATATATATACACATACACACACACACACACACACACACACACACACACACACGCACACTAATTATAAACTTCAAAACATCTGTTGGCATGCTTCCTAACTATTAACCAGTTGTTTTGCCTTTGGGTTCTCATGGCCCCAGCTGGCCTTAAAGGGATTTTTTCTGTACCCTCAAAAGGCAGTGGTTATTTACTTGAAGTTGAGTCTTCCAGGAACCAGGGCACTCTAGGTCAGACACTGTGGGGACAAATGTGACTATTCTATTCTGTCAGGGTTTAGAGCATCCAGACACTCACTAGGTTCCGTTTCACAAACTTTGGTAAAAGTCTGTGACTACTGTAAAAGATTATTAGATTCTTAATTGTAATCACAGCAAACCCTGCAACTTCTTATATTTACAGAATGGGGGCACTTTGGATATTGGCAGTTAGGAGGTAGTCCCTTGCCAAAGAAAACCTGTATAAAACAATAGGTACCTTGTGCAGATCATCTGTTTGGGGTAAAAAGGAAAAGGGGAGGCGCTTAATTGAAGAACTAGTGTGAAAGTTTGCCCTGAGGCCTGTGTGCCCATTTGGTGCCAGGAAGCTGGGCATAAGACAGTTGTTTCTTATCCCTTCTATGGACCAAATGAGTGAAAGCTGGTTGAAACTGCATGAGGAATTCTTATTTATACACAAGAAATACTTCCTGCCAGTGAGTGGTCACCAAAAAAGCTCCCTTAGATCCTCGTGAGTGTTGGGCAGCCACTGTGTGCAGGGCTGGGTGTCATGGCAGCCACCAACCCCAAAGCCTGCCCTCCAGCCTGCAGGTAGATGGTGATAGCAGGCAGGCTTCTCCATCTCACCACGTAAGGACCAGAGGCAGGTGTGCTCCTAGGGTGCTCTGTCAACATGGACCATCTCAGTCATGCTTGAATTGACAGAAATGTTCAATGAGGGGTACTGGAGAACTTCCTCTTTGTGTCTTTACTCTGAATTGTCATGCCACTGCCTTAAGAATGTAGGCCAGGTCAGGCACGGTGGCTCACGCCTGTAATCCCAGCACTTTGGGAGGCTGAGGCAGGCGGATCACGAGGTCAGGAGTTTGAGATCAGCCTGGCCAACATGGTGAAACTCCATCTCTACTAAAGATACAAAAAATTAGCAGGGCATGGTGGTATGCACCTGTAATCCCAGGTACTCGGGAAGCTGAGGCAGGAGAATCGTTGTCATCACTAGTGATCTTTTTAGAACATACACTGACATTTCCCTGCATAGGTTCACGCTTGCCTTCTTGGGATTTACTTTTGCTCTGAGAGCAATGAAAGAAAAGAGACCTGATCATTTCTGGTACCTTAGAAAGCTGTTACATTCAGAAGGATGAGAAGCTTTTGTTTCAGGAACAAGCCAACCTGTACAAGTCTGTGTATTTTGTGAGACTAGTCCCAATCTTGTGAGCAAGAGTAAGAAAATAAGGCCCCAGGGTATAAACTGAGTTTTTCGGGGTTTTTTTAGACAGAGTCTCACTCTGTCCCTCAGGCTGGAGTGTGTTGGCACAATCTCTGCTCACTGCAACCTCCACCTCCCAGCTTCAAGTGATTCTCCGGTCTTAGCTTCCCAAGTAGCTGGGATTGCAGGCATGCCACCATACCCAGCTAATTTTTGTATTTTTAGTAGAGACATGGTTTCACTATGTTGGCCAGGCTGATCTCAAACTCCTGACCTCAGGTGATCTGCCGACTTCAGCCTCCTAAAGTGCTGTGATTACACGCATGAGCTTGACCTTTTTTTTTTTTTTTTTTTTTTTTGAGGTGGAGTCTCACTCTGTCTCCAGCCTGGAGTACAGTGACATGATCTCAGCTCACTGCAACCTCCACCTCCCAGGTTCCAGGTTCAAGCAATTCTCCTCCCTCAGCCTCCTAAGTATCTGGGACCATAGGCTTACACTGCCATGCCTGGCTAATTTTTGTATTTTTAGTAGTAGATGGGGTTTCACCATGTTGGCCAGGATGGTCTCTATCTCTTGACCTTGTGTTCCGCCTGTCTTGGCCTCCCAAAGTGCTGGGATTACAGGCATGAGCCACCATGCCCAGCCTAAACTGACTTTTTAATAGTGATTGAGCAGTCCATGTTTACAAGTAAGATGAGCCATTAAAAAATTTATACATATAAATACACACACACATTTTTATACAGTATTTTCTAGAACTGTGTCATACTTGTCTAAACCTAAAGAAGCTGCGTGAGTGTTCTGTGGCCATGAGCGAGGTCAGACAGAAAAACTTGGCTGTGCCCAGCCTCCCCCTGCCCACCTGACATGGGCACAGACCTGTTGATAATGCACCTGCCTACCAGCCTCTTTCTGAGAAGGTAAGGCCATTCTGTTTTGATTTTGGTAGATAATCTTGTGCCGTGGAAATCAGAAGGGCAAAACGAAGCAGTCATGATGAGAAGCACACCTCAGAAATCAGGACATCCCCTATCAGGTGGTTTTGGAGAAAACAAGGAAGGTGGAAGAATGGAGTGCAATTGTGTGAGCAGAAAGGGGGGCAGGAATCCCGGTGCTACACTGCTTAAACCACAGGACGTGGTTAACTCCTCACCAAGCTTCCCGCAACCCTGGTTGCCAGTGGGCGTGGGAGACATTGTACACACGTTATGCTATTTAAAATATGTTCCAACCATAGTGTAAAGCTGATTAACCATATTGGTATATAACCAGAATTTTATATTAAAAGGGGCCTCCTTTTTAAAATATATGCCGTGTAAAAAAATGTACTTATAGGAACATATCTTTGAATTGTATTTCCTGTATATTACATACTTAGAGAGACTATTTTAGCCAGGCAAAGTCTTTATTTTGCTGTGACTGGAATAAATCATTTATTACTTGGGAGTCCCATTTTGGACACTAATAATAAAATCATGGCAATGCATTTTTGAGGTTTTTACATTTTATTTTACTTCCTCGTGGTTTTAGGGGTCAGGAAGAACTCTTTAACATCTTTTAAATGCAATAATTTCACCCTTCGGAGAGGAAGCAGATCGGGCCACAGACTTATCCATGGACTCGTCTGCTCTGAGATCTGGAAAAAGACCTAACTTTGTCTGGTCTAAATCTGTGCTCTTCAAGTCATTGTTTGCTAGAAATCTAAGATCTCAGGCTCCACTTGAGACCTACTAAGACAGAATCTGGATTCTTATAAGATCCCAGGTGATTTGTTTGCATATTAAAGATGGAAACCAGTGAGTACACTGGTTTGCGGAAGGATAAAAAAATAGAGAAGCTCTGTCCCAGATACTAATTAGAATGGATTCATGCCACAACGACCAGAGAAACAAGGAAACTGAAATGTATTGAATATCTGCTCTATGTCAGGTAACACACCAGGCATTTTCACATATGCCTTTATTTAACTCTCAAAATGAACTTGTAAGTTAGGTTAAATAATTGCCCACGTTCAAAAGCTGGAGCTGGCACCTGGGCCTGACTCCAAAGCCTGTGTGCTTCCCATTAGGGTACACTCCCTGCTCAGAGCCAGTGCAGCTCAGCTGCTCTCTCAGGCTGGCGTGGAGGAGGGACACGATACTGAAGGGATACGTAAGGTGGCACATGCAAAACTAAATTCCAAGACGAAACTAAAGTGTGTGTTTGTAAAGAGGGTAAAAATGGGAAGCAAACTGGCCTGTTGAGCTTCCAGATATTCCTCCTTATGGAATGATAATTAGTCTGTTATGTGGCTTGGCAGCGGCAGGCAATATGGTAGGGATTACAGCAGGGCGTTACTGAAGGGTCTTGAGTGTAATCTGCTTTGGAGATGTTGTCATTGGCAATGTCTTGAAGGACGTCTGCAAGAACCTTTCTGACCTCGGGCAGCACAGCCTGGTACTCCGCACCACCTCTTTCTAGAGGCACAGCTTCCGCGATATCATCTTCCAGGTTGAAAATAAGAGGAAACTTATGCTGCAGCTCAGGCCCGGTGCTCCCATCACATGCTCTGGCCCCACCTAGAGAGGGGATGACAACAAACACCTCACTAACTCTGACAGTTACCCTATATTGTAAAGATGAGAGCTGCCGGTGTGTACATTAATTCAAACGTACCAGATAACCAAATGTTCCAATGATGGCTCTCTCTGTCAAAGAAATTACCTGGAGAATCTATTTGCTCCTTCCAATGATGATCCTGTGGTCCAAAATGTTTTGTTTTCATTTCTGTTTCTGTTTTTGTTTTTTGAGCCAGGATCTGGCTCTGTTGCCCAGGCTTCAGTATAGTAGCATGATCCTAGCTCACTGCAGCCTCAACCTTTTTGAGCTCAAGCAATCCGCCCACCTCAGCCTCCCAAGTAGCTGAGGCTACAGGCATGCACCACCATGCCCAGCTTTTTTTTTTTTTTTTTTGGAGACAGCGTCCCGCTATGTTGCTCAAGCTGATCTCGAACTCCCAGCCTCAAGCAATCCTCCTGTCCCAGACTCCCAAAATGCTGGGATTATCAGCAGGAACCACTGCGCCCAAGGTAAAATGATTTGGAACTTCTCCTTGGGCTTGCCTTCAGAGCCAGTAGAATACTCATTCAAGTATCTATATTGACACAAAATCAGGATGTAATTTTTTAAACTATTTTTAACCTCTGCCCTTTAGGAGTAAATTTGATTTTTTTGAAAATCGATTTCTTGAAAACCAATTGGTGAATCAAGTGGAAAGGCAGGTAAGCAATTTCACTTTGGGTTGAAGATGACAGTCTTACATGTATTCAAATCTGGCTATGAAAGCCATCCAAAAGAGGAAGTACAAAAATGTTTGGAAAGATAGCAGCTTCCCTGGCTCTTCATGATTCCAATGACTTTTTTTTTTTTTTCTCTTTTGCCTTTGCTATACAAAAAGTAAGTTAAGGTATCTGATGGAAATAAACATAATTAAATAAACAAAGGGAATAAAGGCAAAAGATAGCCCTCAGAAACAGAAGAATTCCTAAACAGTGACCTTGCTTCTGAGCTTACCAGTAGCCAAACATTAACGAAACAAACTTATCAATTGCTCAGGAGAAGCAGAGCTTTTTCTGGCACTAAGATCGGAGAGAAATTCTTCCAGGGAGCCCTGTAGGATGGAATGCTCAATGGCATTCTTGTGAAAAATAAAACTGAGATTAGTCCTTTACTATACGATGAGATAAGGTGCCAACGTACAACTCAGTACAAGGAAATCTATAGGGGCAAAGCCATACTACCTAAGGATTCAGCCTTCTGGTCCAATCTGGCCAGAAATAAAATTTGAAATATTTAGGAGAATGAGTAGATCTCAAAGCCTTTAGACAACCTTCTATTACTAGCTTTCCTCCTGTGACTGAGAGTCCAGTTGATCAGTAGAGATTAATAGTTGTTATCTTTGCGTAGAGTTTGAAGTAGAATTTGATGATTATTCATTGCCAGGAAAGGGCAGTGACATGAGCTTTAACAAACATTTCATGCTAGGAGTACAGACTGTGTCCTATGACTGAGCGATCTGCCTAAGATCAAGGGAAAAATCTGGAAGACTCATCTAACAAAGTGTAAAACTAAGGCTTTATAAGTTGAAGGGGATTGACTACTAATTAACTGCCAGTGAAAATAAAAATCAACATCTCAGATAACAGAAATCAGAATCACTATAATGCTTCACCAACAATGTCCAGTTTACAATTTTTAAGGACAAATAAATAGGAGACTCCCAGTTTCTAGTCTGGCATGTAAGGAGGTTGACAGTCATCACTCCATTCTAACAACAAGTAAAAATCTGAACAAACTAAAAAATCAACAATTATTAGGTCTTTCAGAGAGGTGAGGTCACAGGGCAAACTACTGCCTCCAAAATCAGAGAGACAGACAGGCAAATAGAAAGAATCACAACTTACCAGAGCGGAAACCCACAAGCAGAAACCTCTGCAGGAACCAGGGCCAGGAGTAAGGAAAACCTGAACTGTAATTGACAAATTGCTGGAGGCTCAGGGTGGACAAGTGTGAGAGAGAAAAAACCCCAGTAGGACCCATTTATCAAGCCCCGCCCCCAACACAAACACACACTTTTGTGAATTTTACCTCGAGGAGCTCAACCCAGTTCTTACAGTAAATATTGGAGAAAAATCCCCTCATCCTTCCAAGAGGGGTAGGATAAAAGTAATTTTTAAATATACCAAAATGTTCTATTCTTCTTAACAGGGCTTGCCCTCAGGAGAAACTCTTTTACCAGAGCTTAAATTACTTAGGTTTTTCTCACAGCCTAACTGACCGAAGGGAAGGGAAATATCCAGCTCTAGCCACTCTAGCTGTTCCACCTAAGAGGAGGGAAGGGGAAAACTAAGAAGCACTTGTGAAGTTCACAGTCCAAAGACATAGGCTCACCAAAAGACTGAGACTTCATAATAACCGACCCAACTGAGAAGGAACCAGAAAACCAACTCTGGTAATATGATAAGCAAGGCTCTTTAACACTCCCCCAAAAATCATGCTAGCTCACCAGCAGTGATCCAAACCAAGAAAAAAAACCCGTGATTTACTTGAAAAAGAATTCAGGAGGTTAGTTATTAAGCTAATTAGGGAGGCACCAGAGAAAGGTAAAGCCCAATGCAAGAAAATCCAAAAAACAGTACAAGAAGTGAAGGGAGAAATAGTCAAGGAAATTGACAGCTTAAAGAAAAAACACTTAAAACTTCAGGAAACATTGGACATACTTATAGAAACGCATCATGCTGTGGGAAGTCTCAGCAATAGAACCAAACAAGCAGAAGAAAGAAATTCAGAGCTTGAAGACAGGTCTTCGAATCAACCCAATCCAACAAAGACAAAGAAAAAAGAATAAGGAAACATGAACAAAGCCTCCAAGGAGGCTGGGATTATGCTAAACAACCAAACTTAAGAATAATCAGTGTTCCTGCAGAGGAAGAGAAATCTAAAGGTTTGGAAACTATATTGGGGGAATAATTGAGGAAAACATCCCTGGCCTTACTAGAGACCTAGACATCCAAATACAAGAAGCACAAAGAACACCTGGGAAACTCATTGCAAAAGCATCACCAGGTAACCTATAAAGGAAAACCTAATACAAAAATATGAGGTAGCCTATAAAGGAAAACCTATCAGTATTAACAGCAGATACTCCACAAGCTAGAAGGGATTGGGGCCATATCTTCAGCCTCCTCAAACAGAACAATTCTCAGTCAAGAATTTTGTATCCAGTGAAACTAAGCATCATATATGAAGGAAAGATACAGTCTTTTTCAGACAAACAAATGCTGAGAAAATTCACTACTACCAAGCCACCACTACAAGAACTGCTAAAAGGGGCTCTAAATCTTGAATCAAACCCTGGAAACACATTAAAACAGAACTTCTTTAATGCATAAATCTCACAGGACCTATAATAAAAAAAACACACACAATTTGAAAAGCAAAAACAAAAAACCAAGGTACACAGGCAACAAATAGCACAAGGAATGGAATGGTACCTCACATCTTGATACTAACATTGAATGTACATGGTCTAAATGTTCCGCTTAAAAGATACAGAACTGCAGAATGGATAAGAATTCACCAACCAAGTATCTGCTGCCTTCAGGAGACTCACCTAACACATAAGGACTCACATACATTTAAAGTAAAGGGGTGGAAAAAGGCATTTCATGCAAACGGACACCAAAAGAGAGCAGGGAGCTATTCTTACATCAGACAAAACAAACTTGAAAGCAACAGCAGTTAAAAAAGACAGAGAGACTATATAATGGTAAAAGGCCTTGTCCAACAGGAAAATATCACAATCCTAAGCATATATGCACCTAACACTGGAGCTCCCAAATTTATAAAACAGTTACTAATAGACGTTAAGAAATGAGATAGCAACACAGTAATAGTGGGGGACTTCAATACTGCACTGACAGCACTAGACAGGTCATCAAGACAGAAAGTCAACAAAGAAACAATGGATTTAAACTATACCTGAGTACAAATGGACTTAACAGATATATACAGAACATCCCATCCAACAACTGTAGAATACACATTCTATTAAAGAGTGCATGTAACTTTCTCCAAGATAGACCATATCATAGGTCACAAAGTGAGCCTCAATAAATTTAAGAAAATTGAAATTATATTAAGCACCCTTTCAGACCACAGTAGAATAAAACTGGAAATCTATTCCAAAGGAACATTCAAAACCATGCAAATACATAGAAATTATATATCCTTCTTCTGAATGATCATTAGGTCAAAAACGAAATCAAGATGGAAATTTCAAAATTCTTTAAACTGAATGACAATAGTGACACAACCTATCAAAACCTCTGGGATACAGCAAAGGAGGTGCTAAGAGGAAAGTTCAAATCCCTAAACACCTACATCAAAAAGACTGAAAGAACACAAACTGACATTCTAAGGTCATACCTTAATGAACTAGAGAAACAAAAACAAACCAAACCCAGCAGACAAAAGGAAATAACCAAGATCAGAGCAGAACTAAATAAAATTGAAACAAACAAAAAAATATAAAAGATAAATGAAACAAAAAGCTGGTTATTTGAAAACATAAATAAAATTGATAGACTGTTACCAAGATTAAACCAAGAAAAGAAAGGAGAAAATCCAAATAACCTCAATAAGAAACAAAACGGGAGATATTACAACAGACACCGCAGAAATACAAAAAATCATTCAAGGCTACTATGAACACCTTTGCGCATTTAAACTAGAAAACCTAGAAGAGATGGATACATTCCTGGAAAAATACAACTTCTAGCTTAAATCAGGAAGAATTAGATACTCTGAACAGACCAATAACAAGCAGCAAGATTAAAAAATTACCAACAAAAAAAGTCTAGGACCAGACGGATCCATAGAAGAATTCTACCAGACATTCAAAGAAGAATTGGTACCAACCCTTTTGACACCAAAACAGGATAGTACTGGTATAAAAATAGGCACATAGACCACTGGAACAGAATATAGAACACGGAAATAAACCCAAATACTTACAGCC